TCATATAAATAATTTTTTTATTTCGTCAGCTGGTAATCCTATCCCACCTAAACAAGAAATTTTAGATTTTTATAGAAATAATCTTAAGCTTGATGTTCAACAAAAGCTTCAGTTTCGTCAAGTTGAACAATATGAAGTTTTGAAAATAATCTCGACAATAAAAACCCAGGCTTGTGGATCTGATCATATAAACATAACCATGCTTCAACTGTGCTGCCCCTTTATTGTCCCTTTTTTAACAGACATCATAAATGAATGTCTAACGCGATCCTATTTTCCAAATCCTTGGAAGCTTGCCTTTGTTCGCCCTCTGCCAAAGATAAATCCGCCAGTTGAATTTAAAGATCTACGCTCAATCAGCATACTCCCCGCTCTCTGAAAAATACTTGAAAAAATTGTCGATTCACAAACTAGATGTTTTTTAAATGAACATAACATTCTTCCATCTAAGCAATCGGGATTTCGTGGGGGCTATAGCTGCGCCACAGCAATGGCAAATGTCACTGACGATATTTTTCAAGCATGGGATGAAAATAGAGTTAGTGTATTAATTCTACTCGACTATACAAAAGCTTTTGATTTAATTAACCACGAAATAATTCTTTCTATTTTGCAATATATAGGATTTGCTGAGGCCACAATAAAATTCTATAGATCATTTCTAAGTGAACGTAGACAACGGGTGGTTCTTGATAACTCCTTCTCAAATATTGAAAATGTGGACGTTGGCGTACCACAAGGAAGCATCCTTGGTCCGCTACTGTTCACAATATATACAGGTAGATTTGGCGAATGTCTAGGGTTCTGTAATTATCATTTTTATTGTTATATAAAGTGGGGAACGGGACAGAAAAGAAAACACAACGCTCCGTTTAACTTGTGCAGACAGACTGACTTTTTTAATACAATGACAAGTACAACTGACTTACTGACATACATGACATGACAGAACTAAAAGAGTAGATATGTAGATAATCGATAAGTAGGGATGGGTAAGAATTTTGAACTCAAATATTAACACCCCCACTAGTTCTAAATTTTACAAACAATTTTTAACTATGTTTAAACAATTCATAAATTTATAATGCTTGCAACCTGGTAGCGCCTTCGTTAATAAATCAGCAGGCATATTATCAGTTTGCAAGTACTCAAGTTTAACTTCCTTTTTAGCAATCATATCCCTAACAAAATTATAACGTATGTCAATGTGCTTAGACCGTTTATGAAAAATACTATTTTTTGCTAACTTCTGAGCACCTTGATTGTCGTTATAAAGTTTGACACATACAACTTTGCCTGTTATTTCACAAATAATATTTCTGAGGTAAATCGCCTCTTTACATGCTTCGCTGATAGCAATGTATTCAGATTCCGTGCTTGAAAGTGCAACGGATTTCTGTTTGCAACTTTCCCACGAAATCACTGAGTTGGATAGTTTAAAACAAAAACCTGAATAGGATTTCCTATCAAAACCATTACTGCCCCAATCGGCATCAACAAAACCCTCCAATTCAGTGTCATCCTGGGTATATTTCAAGCAATAATCTTTTGTTGCTTTCAAATATTTCAACACTCTTTTCGCAGCTTTCCAATGAGTATCATTAAAGCAAGAATTAAACTGACTAAGGTAACTGACACAATAAGCAATGTCTGGCCTAGTCATTACACAAAGATACATTAAACTGCCTAACAAATGTTGATAGGGTACATTTAATTGAGAAACATCATCTTTTTTGAAACCTGGATTAATTTCCATTGGTGTACCAATATTTTTACAATCCGACATTTTAAATTTTAATAACAAGCTTTCAATATATTTTTCTTGATCTAGAGTTATAGTTTTATTTTCCCTGTCATAATTTATCCTAACTCCTAAACATGTTTTCGCTTCACCCAGATCTTTGATTTTAAAATTTTTGCTTAGATTAACTTTCAAATTATTAGTTTCAACAGCATTGTTACTAAAGATAAAAAAGTCATCCACATACAATGCAATGATAGTGATTAAACCTTCATCCTTTTTAAGAAAAACACAAGCTTCATATTCGGATTTTGTATAACCAAGATTAGTTAAAACCAATTCAACTTTGTTATACCAAACCCGACTTGATTGTTTAAGTCCATAAATAGCCTTGTTTAATTTCAACACTTTATCTTCACTGCCCTTAACCTTAAAACCCTCTGGCTGAAACATGTAGACGTTTTCCTCGAGTTGCCCATTTAAAAAAGCCGTAGCTACATCCAAATGATGAATATTCAAATCAAGCTTAACTGAAAGAGCAATAAGCAATCTAAAAGTAGAATGCCTGACAACTGGGGAAAAAGTCTCATAGTAATCAACACCATGCTGTTGTGTGAAACCTTTAGCGACCAATCTGGCCCTATACCTAATGTTACCTTCACTATCAATTTTTCGTTTGAAGACCCACTTAGAGTCCACTACACTTCCACTTTCCGGCACATCTGCCAAGTCCCAAGCCTCATTTTCTTCGAAACTCTTCATTTCTTCCAACATTGCTAGCCTCCACTTCTCACCGTCAGCTCTTTCCAATGCTTCCTTTACACTGAAAGGTTCACATTCCAATGTATTTTCTGTACACATGTACGTCACATAATCTGGAAAGTCTTTGGGCTTTTTCTGTCTCTGAGGTCTAATATTAACAGGAATTTCCTCTGGGATTTCTTCTTCAGTAGTATACTCACTGTCACTCGATGAGTCATTTTCTGACAGAGTAGTTGGTGTACCAAAAATTTCATGTTCTGGCAATTCAGCAATATCGACAACATTATTTTGGTTTTCCCCCACTGAAATCGTGGCCTCTGTGTTTTTGCAGTTTTTGACAATGTCTTCATTTGGCACTGAATTCTCAAAAACAATGACATCTCTGGTGCCAAGCCTGTCTCAGGATCAAAAACACGAAAACCTTTTATTTCATTGCTGTAGCCAATGAAAATCTGTCGTTTGGATTTTTTGTCCCACTTTTGGCGTTTCTCTTTGTTTACATGAACCATAGCCGGAGAGCCAAAAATCCTGAAATAGCCTACATCAGGCTTCTTGCCATACCATAATTCAAATGGTGTTTTATGACCAAGCCCTGTAGCAGTAGACCTATTCCTAATGTGGACGGCTGTATTAACGGCCTCAGCCCAGAATTTTTTCTCCAACTTAGCATCAAAAAGCATGCACCTGGCTCTTTCAACAATAGTCCTATTTAATCTCTCGGACGTGCCATTTTGTTGTGGCGTATAAGGATTTGTTTTTTGGTGAATTATTCCATGTGACTTCAAAAAACCATCAAACTGCCTATTAACAAATTCACCACCTTGATCCGTTCTAAAAACTTTAATTCTAGAATTTTGTTGATTTTCAACTAGATTCTTAAAATTTTTAAAGTTTTCAAAAACTTCATCCTTAGTCTTGAGGAAATACACAAAGGACATGCGTGTAAAATCATCTACAAGAATAAGGAAATACCTGGATCCTGCTATTGATTTGTTCTCCATAGGCCCGCAAACGTCTCCATGGATAACTTCTAAAGCATTTTCAGCTCTGGAGCCTCTATTTTTAAATGGTAGTCTTGCTTGTTTGCCCTCACAACAAGTAATACAATTTGATTTCTCAAATTTACAGGAGTCAGAACAAGCTATTCCTAGAACCGAACCATTTTTCATTTTTTGAAAATCATAGCTATTAATATGTCCTAGTCTACGGTGCCAAGTTTGGCTATTTACACTATTTACAGTCAAAAAACACAGTTCATCAAAAGTTTTGAGTTTATAAACGCCATTGAAAAGTTCAGCAATAGCTATTAAGTCATTGAATTTATTGAAAATTTTGCAAAAGTCATTTTCAAAACATACCTGGTTTCCGTTCTTGATCAGGGCACTTACGGACAAAAGATTTGTAGACAGCTGTGGACAGCACAAAACATCCTTTACCGTAATATCAAAGACATCATTACCAACAGCTGTTTTAATATGAACATCCCCCAAACCAACAATGGGAATCTTTGAATTGTTTGCCACCATGATACTCGAAGGAAAAACAGTTTTTCTTGAGGCACTAACTAAAAGAGATTCATCAACCACTAGATGAGAACTGGCACCAGAATCAATATACCAGTCTGATTTATTGAAATCGCCGCTTAAAAACACAACATTAAACGCGTTTTCCGACTTATTGTGCTGGTTTCTGCCATTATTTTCATTCAAAAACAAAGGACATTTATTGCGAAAATGACCCTTTTGTTTACATCGATAACAGGTTATGTCACTCTTCTTTTTTTGATCTTGGGCCGGATGCGTGTTGCCGCCAGCAACCCAACCATTGCCAACGTCACGACTGTTGCTACTAGTGCTGCCACCACGATTTATCGAATTGTTCGATCGATAGTTTTTGGTATAAAATGCACTACCGCCTTTCACATCATCGTGTTCCATGTCCAAAAGCTTTGATTTAATAGTGTCAGTGGTTATGGCTATCCCCGAATGCTCGATGGCCATAATCATTGTCATAAATTTATCCGGCAATCCTGCTAAAAGTAGGGAACCGACCCACTCGTCATCTATAGCAAAACCGGTGCCACGAAGTCTCTGACTTGTCTCTATTATCTGGTTCGCATAAGCCGCCATAGAGTCACACGTATCCAATCGCGTTGAAATTAAATGTCGAAGTAAGCTTATTCGTCGCGAAAAGCCACAATCATCGAACATACTCTTTAATTTGTCCCAAAGCGATTTCGCGGTCCTGGCCTCTTTTATGTGCACGTATAGAGTAGGGTCTATTGTGAGAATAACAGTGGCGGCCAGTGGCAACCTAGTGTGGATGTGCGCTCTTGAAAATTCTTTTGGAGGTGCCACCTCCTGTTTTACATTTATTTTGTATGTTGATTTTTTTCCTTTTTCCTTTGGGAAAAATTATCGAAAACAAAAATGTATGTATTTAAACGAGGCTTGAATGTTTGTATTCTAGCCATGATATTGAAATTTATAATTAAAAAAAAAAAACCGCGAACAACAGAGTTGTCAAACCGCCAAAATGGTGAAAAAACATCGAAATATTCTCGATTGAGTGGAAACAACATTGGAAGTGTGTATTCAAATAGCGCACGGCGCATCCCTTTCATCGGGCGACTTACCGTATATTCCCGATCAATCGCACAGCGAGAAAACACATTTACCCAGAGCGCCGAACGATTCCACACCGACCACCCGGACCACCAGCACAACCAAGCGGGAGAAAAAAATATACAAGACAGGCGCAGGGCGCGCTTTCGTTCCGTTCGTGCGAATTTAAAAATAGAAAAATGAGTAGATATTTATCCTAATTTAGAAAATTGGGTAGGTATTTTTTAATTGAAGTTTCTTTCCTTTCCAAAATTTAAATTTTATTTTCTTGCTTGGTTTTTGGAGGCAGTGCGCGCGCACGAGCGCACTTATTGAGAAGCCGCCCCTGGAGAATAAGTTTGGCTTTCGTTTTTTGATCATCGGCAACTGATGCTGCTTCAGTAGCCACAGGTTCAGTCTCAATATATTTCGCAAGACATTCAAGAACCAGAAAATTTTGGGCCGCGAATGCCCAATCATCATAATTTTCGCGCCCTTTTAATTTAGGTACGTTTACCAAAGGTGGGTTCGGGATGACTGTTCTATAAACTCCAAGTGCACTAAACACTCCCGATGCGTTCGGGTATGGTCATTTTATGCTAAAAGAGTAACTCCATTTGCGTTCGGCTAGGACGCGTGGGAGTCAAAAGAGCTGACTCCGAAAGCACCACCTTTTCAATAGCAAGCGCCAGAGCGGGCATGCGCAGTGTTTTTGTTTTCGTGATATCTAACCCCAAACCGGCCAAAGGAAACCCCATTTTTTTATATACGTTTTTCGACTACACTTGTCTAGTTTGGATGTTTTGAAATTTCGAACTATTTGAACCAGAAGCGCTTATTTTTGTAATTAGCCAGGCTATTGGAAAGTTTTTTAAACGCATCGGAAGTAGCAAGAATGGCCATGGACATATCTGAACAAACCTATGTGGTTGTAGTTGACGAAGAAGGAAGACCAATAATTACAGCAGAAAACAATATTTTACTCTGTGATAAGGCTAGTAAGTACTATCAAGTATTATCTATTCAACCATAATTAGGTAAATTTAAATATTAAGTTTTAATAATATTTGGCTTCATTGACAACTAGGTCACTTATAGAATTTCTATACCTAATTTCAAATATGTAGGTACATTCAATTCCATTTATGTTTTTGTTATTCAATGCATTTTGAATGTAATTGAATGTTATTGGAAAGGAAAGTGTACCTGGAGGGCCTACCCCTCAAGCTTCATCTTCATAAAAACGTTACGATTAAAGTTTGTACCTACCTACCTAAGTAAAGTTGAAAGAATAAAAGCACTGAGCACTGGTGCTGTTGCTACTATTTTACTACTTTTACTTCCTTTAAATTAATAAGGTAATTTCTCTGTTTTGTTATCTATGCTTTTACAATATTTGAGACAATAATATTCAAAGCTTTTGATTTCAATAATAATCCTCCTTATTTTTAGCCCAGGGACTTTCATCAATACCATTTACCGTAAACATAGCAAATGAATTTGGAATTGCCTATCCACTGCAAAAGCCATGTGAACAGCAAGAAAACGAACCTTCAACTTCAAGTGCTGCTGAAACCCCAATCACTGAAACCAATGAAGAAAATTCCAAGATTTGGAACACAGAAAATACATTATATCTGATCGACACGGTTCAAAAATTTGACAAGCAATTTTCATCTGGAGTCAAAAAAAATGTTTGGCTCAAAGTAGCAGAATGCTGTAAGCATCTGCACAAAACTTTAAATGCAAAACATTGTGAGACAAAGTGGAAATCCCTAATCCGCACTTATAAAAATATTTTATTGAGCAATAATACCTCTGGACAAAAAAAGAGGTATTGGGAGTTCTTTGATGTAATGCATGCTATAATGTTCAAGAAACCTGAAATTACACCTGTTGCTACCTGTAGTAGCTTACGTGGACTACGTGTTCCCGATCCTGAAGGTAAGAATATTTACGAAAAGACCTATTCCTCGTGATTCTTCAACTCTTTTAACCATTACATGCACATAATGTTTATTTTTGCTTTTTAGAGAAAAGCAAACAAAATGAAAGTAAAAACCAAATTAATGTAGAGGAAAACAACGAAATTGACAACAGCAAAAGTGAAATTGATGAGGAAAGTGGAAAAGAGAATTTTGAAAGCGAATTTTCAAAGAAACGAAAGCGAAAAAATTCAGAAGTTGAAAAAAGACACAGAGACAAGATGCAGAGATTGGATAGATTTAATGAATTATTTGAAAAAATGATCGATAAGCTCCCTGAAAAATAATATTCAAATGCGAACTTCCATTGCATTTTTTTTTCACCAGTCAAAGTAGTTGCACCACTTTGGGAATCTTTCATCCTTTCAATTTGACAATGGGAGTCTAATCTGTAGTTTGAGTATATCCTATCCAAAATCCGAAGTCCAAAGGTATAGGTAAATTTATCACCTTTCCCTATCAAATAGCACTGGAAGGTGATACATTTTAGCTTTACCTTTGGGCATCAGATTTTGAATAGATATGTTGGATTTTGTAGCAAATGTATGTGAATATAGTCTTAAGGAGAGTTTATTTTGAGTTAGTTTGTTATAAACTTGTTTTTATGAAATGTAGGTAGAGGGTGGGATGTAATAGAGGCTTTTTTTGAGTTTAAACATTGTTAAGTTTATTTATTAATATTATTGGCTAACTTGAACATTATTGCTGCAAAACCCCAGGTTTATTTCAAATAAATTAAATAAATAACAATTATTTTTTTATTTAATAAAATATACAAGACTGGTTAGAAGAGTATAGATATACAGAGTGGCAAAAAAGTAATGCATACAACCTGTAGCTTTTAAGGACCTCTTTTCATATAAAGATAATAAAAAAGTTACAGGTATTATGCGTTACTTTTTTGCCAGTCTGTATAGCAAAATGTTTGTGAAAGTAGTGTCCATAAGCTAGAAAAATGAAAAAAAAAAAATGAAACTACATCTAGGTTTAAATATTTAGAAGGATAAAGGAAATGTTATGTTTTGGAAATTATATTTACAGTTTATCTTCGTATAATTATTGGTAAACTATTTACAATATTATTGCGCTTGATTATGGCCTGATTGGGGATATTCTCTATATCAATTTCAATTGCATTCTCTGGATTATTGAGAACCTCTTCTCTCCTAACTTCATCCAAATCAATAATATCCTCGAATGAATCGCCATTTAAAATACAAATATTGTGCAGTATGCAGCAACTCATTATATTTAAACATGATAAGTCCATCCGGACAGTTTCCAGAAATTTTAATTTTCGAAAACGTCCTTTCAGTAACGCGAGTGCATTTTCTATTTTAACCCTTATCTTACTTAAAACTACATTGAAGTTTTTTTGTCTTAAGGTTAAATGCCCATTATCCTTAAATCCAACAAGTAAGTTAAAGTCTAATTTATAGGCTAGGTCTCCTACTAAATGGGTATCGTTAAACAATTGTAACTCCTGCCTTTGTATAGCCGAATAAAGGTCTGATTTCCTGAACAAAGTGTAATCATGGAGCGAGCCAGGTTCCCCTATATATACATCTTCAAACAATAGTTTGTGGTCACAGATTCCTTGTAATAACAAGGAATGGAAACCTTTTCGATTTACATAAGAATTAGAATTTTCTTTTGGAGCTGTAATCCTAATGTGGGATCCATCAATACAGCCAATTATCCCTAGAATAAAAATTCATATTATATATTAAATTTTTGAATAATACTAACCAAGTTGGAAATTCCTTTAATTTTGTTGGGGAAGCAATAAAAATTATTCATTCAAAATTCCATTCATATACTTAAGTTAAAATAGTTATATCTGACTTTTATTGCACTTACCATTAAAACCATTTTGACTCAGGCCATTAGAAATCTCTGCCTGTCTTTGCCTATTTGGCCAACTGATAATTTTGAACTGGTCATTCACTCTAAGCAATAATTTACCAGTACGGGTAACAATTTCCCAGCAAGTTGATTTTGTCACTCCAAAACGGTTTGCGACAGACCTAAAAGTAATAGGGATAGGTGAAGAAATTAACTTAATGGTAGTTTTTTGTGCTATCCCTGCACTGCGACTCATCTTTGTATTGCTGGACACAATAATATACCAACGAGTCACAGTGGAGGGGTATATTCCGAGATTTATTTCCTACCCCACCTAAAGCTATCAATATTTCCCAAATACCATATGGTAATCATAACATCCTTTTCTAGAGGGGTTTTACATCTGCGATATGTTCTTACACCCTCACTTGCATTGTGGATTTTTCTTAAAAGATCTTCAAACGTATCAGGACACATTCTAAAATGTATTTTGAACTGCTGATCGGACATGCGAGGAACAGTTATTTCGCAAAAATTTTCAATCTTAATAACTTCATTATCTTCTTCCTCAGATGAGTCTCCGTATAAATACACTTCCCTAACAAAATTGAATATGGGCAACAAACAAGCAAAGTTCATTAATTGCAGTTGAATTACACACAAACAGTATTCACGAATCACAAAACAAATAGGAAACTTAGAAAAGTAATGAAACGTATTGTGGTTGCTGAATGTTAGGTTAGGTTAGGTTAAGAAGCTCGAAGTGCGCCCTGACCGTTCGGAGTCATCATTCTACTCTAAAAGCACTTTGGTCACGTGACAAAAACGCCACTCCAACTATACTCCAGCTCTGCTCGGCCATCCCGAACCCAGCTCAAATAACCCGAAGCCATAATTATTCCACGCACTGCACAACGAAGAAAAAACACTTTTCTAAACAACCCGGACTCCACTAACTTTACAAAAACGTGATCTGGGACCCCATAACCTATTGTTATATAAAGTGGGGAACGGGACAGAAAAGAAAACACAACGCTCCGTTTAACTTGTGCAGACAGACTGACTTTTTTAATACAATACAATGACAAGTACAACTGACTTACTGACATACATGACATGACAGAACTAAAAGAGTAGATATGTAGATAATCGATAAGTAGGGATGGGTAAGAATTTTGAACTCAAATATTAACAATTTTTACGCTGATGATACGCAGCTCTATAGCTCGTTTAGAATAGACGATTTGGAGGCTTCAAATATTTCGATAAATTCTGACCTTGAAAATCTAATTACCTTGTCAAAGGATCATCAATTAAAAATCAATCCCTCCAAGTCGTCTGTCACTGTGTTTGGTAGTGAAGCTCATAGAGCCATAGCAGAATCTGACCTCATTATTAGGATTAATGACGTACGCCTTGAAATAAGTAAGTCTACGAAATCATTGGGGCTTATTGTGGATTCTGATCTCGGCTTTCATGAGCATGTGACGAGTAAATTGAGGAAAGCATATGGTGCATTGAAATTGTTGTTTAATCAAAGACATTTTTTGACTCAAGATGTAAAGAGGGAATTGTGTGATTCGTTAGTACTCTCGCACTTTAACCACTGCGATACAGTTTACGGATCGTGTATTGATCAACGCACAACCAGAAGAATTCAAAAAGTCCAAAACTCCTGTTTGCGATTGATTTTTGGTATACGTAGAGGAGAGCGAATCTCGCATAAGCTAGGGGAAGCGGGTTGGCTAAATATGTTCAATCGCCGAAAATTACATTTTGCATGTTTTTGTTACAAAATTATTAAAAATCAAACCCCACTCTATTTATTTAATAAAATTAAATTTAGGGCGGATGTTCATCAATTGAATCTCCGCCTTAGAGGCTTTTTAACTGTACCAAGACACAGAAAAGAACTTTTTAAAAGATCTTTTTCATACAATGTTGCCTCCTGTCTTAATAAGCTTAATGTTGTGTCTTTTGTGCAGTCTGGTGCAGTGTTTAAAAATAAAATTAAGAATATACTGTTTGATAGTCAATAGCGTGAAGTATGAAATTCCAATAAATGCTCTATTTTTCCTCTCTTTTTCTTTCTTCTGTCTTGTCTTTCTCTTGTTTTCTCTTCTCATTTCTTCCCCTCCTCCATTAGGATTGCTGAGAGAATAGTTATCATTTAATCATCTTTTATTCTGTTTCCAAATGCTTACTGGGCAAGGTAGGTAAGTCAATATCGGATAGGCGCATATTTTGAATTATTTTTTTAAGTTATGGTAGGCCTAAACAGTATCTGGTCTCATACCAGATGTCTGCAATGACATGGCCTTTTATTTTTTTCATTCAATAATTTTAAATATCTATTTCAGCTGTACATTATAATTGTGATTGAGAAAAATAATAAATTTATATTATTATTATTATTATTATTATTAATAATTGTATTTGTATTGTGCATGTTACCATGGAAACGGCGATCATATGTTTTTATGTCCTACCGCGACTAGCATTCCGTCGCGATGTAAACACATGAGGTGCTTTCCAGTGACCCACTTGAGTTACTCCTGAGCAGCTCAGGACGGCGATTCTCGAATCGTGTGATCCCTGTTCTCATAGGAAAAGTACCCGTGGTTTCTATTAAAATCTATTACGATGTATTCTCGAAATTAGGGACCATTCACTTCCTATGAAAGTTGAGAGAATTTTATTCTACTACTTTTTTTAGAGAGAACGTCTGTTCTCGGGAGAACCAAACGTCAAACATGCGCTTTTTGTCAATTCTACGGTCATCATCCATAGTATTTTTTTGTTTGTTTTGCAAATCATTTATCAGTAATTGCCAATTGGGTACATTTGCATATTGTGGAAAATATGGTCCAATACGAAAACGTGGGAAACCATGAAAGCTGGGGCTATAGGAAGAATTCTTGTACTGAATAATCTACTAGATGCAGAAGAGCAAGAAGAAAGGCCTATAATAGACCGTCAGCTAATGACATATTTTGCTGACCGATTTTCTCTCTTCGGGGATTTCAACCACTGAAAATTATGTCAGTGCTGAGCTCAAAAAATTAAAATTTAGCGACCGAACTTCTGCTAGGCATATGGAAAATGTTCTTTCCTTTTGCAGCGGCCGTAACATATACCTCAACAGCTGACCGGCTTATGGAATTTTTTTCTGGTTCTTACCGATATCAAATTTGATTCTGACGATTGCCATAAGCGAGAAAACAATCAGCCACCGAATATTCTTTCACAAGATCGTGCCCTTATTTCAACCCTTCCAGTACGCGCAAACCTTATGGCTTTGGTTTTTCACTATTAGATTGTTCTTCAATGTTAATGTGTTAAAATGCCATGAAAGAGAAATTGAAAAAATAACCATTTTTTTCTGCAAGAGGAAAATTAATTTTCCATATGCCTAGCAGACGTCCGGCCGCTAAATTTTCATTTTTTGAGCTCAGCACTGACATATTTTTCAGTGGTTGAAATCCCCAAAGAGAGAAAATCGGTCAGCAAAATATGTCATTGGCTGATGGTCTATAAGGAGATTTTACATAAGAGAAAATCCCTTTGATTCAACGGATAATAAATTTATAAAACTATTTAGATTAAGCAAAGATCCTGCTCGAAATTTAATTGATTTATTGACACCTTTTATACGGGATCCAACTAGAACTTCATCATTAAAAACTGTGGTAAAATCGGAGGTAAATTTCCACTTTGAAGTTTCTCATTTTGCCTTACAAATTCAATGAGCATTTCTTTTTGAGTACCTATGATTTATAGGTGAACATCTTGATTTTTCCAAATTCATTTTCCACATAAACAAAACAACACAAAAATAAAAATTGTAAATAGAATGATTATGATTTGATTTTCATTAAATAAATAAGCAAAGAATGAGGTTACGTCCTAAAACACAAATAAAATAAAACGAATAAAATAAACTGATTTTCTTCTTTCTCATGACATTCGTCCTTTTAACACACTAAAATTCTGGCTAATTCTACATATTACTGTTGGCAACAACGCATTATGATTTGACAAGTTTTCTCTCATTCTATCATAATCCCATACGTTCGAGAATACCAACTTTGGCACCAAGAGAACGAGCGTGCGATGTGATCTGTCACTTCTCTTAGGGGAACGTTCACTTCTACCAAATTCGAGAATCGACTACCAGGAGTACTCCGCATTTACTGGCGCCGTTCCAGTGCTTGGAGTGTCATGCACTTGAACTACTCATTTCTGTTATCCCCTGCCCTCTCGTGCACCTACCATTGTTTCGGTGTTTCATGCTCCGAAATGGTGCGGGATAGGAAAATTCAGGTTATTTTCATTCGGTTTTTTCGAGAGTGCTGCTTATGACCAACAGTTCAAGAGCGTCACACTCCAGGAGCATGATACTCTTATAATTCGTGCACTGGAAAGTAGCTATGGAAAACCGGCGGAGAACCAGTGAGAAATTATTTCTCACTGCAATGGCCGACTTTTCTCACTGCGTGATAAATTCTTCGTTTTTAATGTATGTAAGTAGTGAGAGAAGTGGTACATTGTGTAGCATCCATAGAAAAAATTATTATTCT